AACAGTAGTGAACTACAACAACAAAAATTTATTTTATATTATTTTAATTAATTGAATTTTTTGTTGAACATACAGTTGTTTCGAGTATTGTCAAATACCTATTATCAGTGGTCTTGGAAATAATTCTTGTATTTAAGTCTTCGTAAATAATTATTTTTGAGACTGCAAGTACCAGGAATCGAACTCGGGTTCTGCCAAATGTGAAGCTCAGAATCAGCGCACTTTAACCAACTGATCCACAATCGTACTTGACCTTTTATGTTTGCATATTTTTCTGAAGTTTTGTTACTTTTGCTGTGAAAGTTTTTATTAACAAATTTATTTGCTGTGTTTATATTAGAACGAAATTATAGACCAGTTGTAGCATAATTGAGTTAATTAATTATATTTTTATTTTTAATTGTTAAATTTCAATACTATTCTGTATGAATTATTTATTGCACATGATAGCAAAATTATAAGCTTTGTTTTAAAAGTTTTAAAAAAAAAATATTTAAAAAGGAAAAAAGATATGGTACTATTGTTGCAGATGAATTCGGTTGAATACACAAATGTTTGGGTTAATTGGTAATAGGTACAAATAAAACAACTGAAAATTTCAGTTAAATCAAGTAACCACGACGACATATTAATCATCAAATTGAAAGATATTCAATCGACTAACACTTAAAATATAAATCAATCTATTTGAGAGACAGTTGTAGAGATTTTAGAGGTTTTTTGATTGAATGTGTTGTGTTCATTATTGATAATAAAACCTCCTCCGCTTTTCATTCGATATTTCTTGTTTTTAGAAGAAAGGTATCACCTTGTGAAATGAAAGTACAAACTACAGATCTGTGCCCACTAAAATCAAAATTGATCATGTTTTAATAAAAAAACAGATTCAAACTTTTGTTATCAGAATTGATTGGATCAATCTTTCGATCCAATCAATTCAACAATCACATAATAAAAAATCAAATTCATAGTCATCTGTCGACAACAAAATTTTAAAAGGTTTGTTTTCTTCCTTACTGTACCTACATTCTAGTGGGAGAATCTAGGGTATATCGCGAAAGCAACGTGACCTCTGAACAGCTAACCACTGTAATACGTGAAGTTTTTAAGAACATGCACTAGTCTACTCGACTTAATAGTCTTGAGTTTCATGACTGTAGATTCTCTGACATCCAAATTATCAATAAAGACAGTGGCATTCATTACACCTTTGTTACAATTATCAATAGTCTAAAACACCGATATCGGTCAGAGACATTTTTTTTTAACTTTATAGAAGATAACAGACATTTTGTCACTGCGAAAACAGTAATTATCCGATCAAAATTCTGTAGTTTCTGAACTAGTAGAGATATTGATGTGAAATTTTTCTTATATAGTTTTTAAGATGGGTTTTCTTTTGAATCTAATTTGAGCCAATGGGCCCAAACATGACCCATTTTTACATTTTTTTTGACTAACCTCAAGAATTATTTTATTTCAATACCTCTACTGGTTCAGAAAATACAGAATTTTGGAACCCTATAATGTAAACCAATATTGCATCAAATTACTGATGATTGTGGTAGCTTCTAAATAATTCTGAACAATTGTCCTAAAATAATATTTTGTGAATGCTAAACTTATTAAAATATAACACATATTTTCTATTTTATATGTATGTATCTATGGGCACACTGAATGCAAGCATATATATATATATTAGTTCTCGTAGTTCCTATGAGGAGCAAAGGGTCACAGAAGGCAAGTATACATATATATTATTTCTTATCTTTTAGTTTATTGGTTATTGGTTTTTTTTCTAACTAGTTATGTAGCTTTTGGTGGAAAAAATAAAGAATAGGCAAATTGGTTGACTGGTTTAATGTATCTAAAAATCCCCTAGATAAAAATTTGTACATATATACACATGCGAATTTAATTTGTAGTAAAAGTATAAATAATAATTTAAAATTTACAACACTAAACAGTTACTCAAAGAGAAGAATCAGGAACGTTAAGGATATTAAGAATGAAAGTGCTAGGTACTACATACAGTAAGTAACAAGAGCATACATCCCTAAGGAATACTATATCTTAAACAGAATCAATACACTGGATCCGAAACCGGGTAAAATAGAATTTCATAGATTTTGTGTAATCCAGTCTAATATTGAAGTTTATATATATTTTTTGTAAGATTTTATGTTATTTTGAGCTAGTCTCGGTATATTTTATTATTATTTAAATAGGAAAAAATTAATTTGGATCCAAAGAAAGACTATCGCAATATTTTTTACAATATTTTGTTTGAAATTCGGGGCCTGTTTTTAGTATTAAAGTAGCACAACTATGAATATATTTTTCTGCATAAGTTTTATGAAGTTCAAGTGATAATGCCAATATGATATAAAAAATTGATATCGTGAAAGTTTTGTTTGTATAACATTATTATGAAATATATCATGTGATAATTGTAAGTAATTAGTTTATAACCATATAAAATATATTGAAAAATTATTTTAAATTTCATTTCTTTTCATTTCAAATGCTTATTTGGTGCTGTTAGCTGGTATTTTTATTTTTATTTATTTAAAATAAATAAATTTATTTATTATTTATTTATTCATACATTTGAACAAAGTTGATTAGTGGCTGCCTGCGTGAGAGGAGTGAGCAGGTTCCCTTGTTATGTATGAAATGATTTTAGTATGATATTTTAATATGCAATACCACATTTCTATTGTATCGGTGAGTTCTTTTAGAGAATAAATTTTGTGATTTTATTAATAACTGATATTAAGTGCCACTATATGACTTTATACTTTCTGATCTCACCAAAACTAAAAAATATTTGCCGTTTATTTAATCTTACTCTTAATGCAGCTAAAGTTGAGTCTAATAATATTACTAGTATAAGAGAACATACCAGCTTTAGAAGCTTAACAATTTAAAATATAATATTTGTTGTGAAATAAGTTAAAACAGTTAATTTAAGAAAATATTATTTAACGGTGTACTTAATTCAAGTAACTAAACTTAAGTAATCAAATGGATAAAGTAAGTGTAGGTGCTAATAGAGATTGTTTAAATTTAGTTATTGCACATTGTTCTACAATAATTATTCAAGTTGTATTTTATATAATTTTTTTGAATGCCATATATTGTGAATGTGATTAGATAGGTAGGAAGTTAACTACTTGAATAAAATATAGTTTTATATTTGTGAACTTTCTAAAATGTGAACAACTATTTGTGGGATCAATAGTTACCGTTGATTTCCATTTGGACTTTACATTTTCCTATACACACATATATACATATATTAACAAAAATGTATTAATATAAAAAATGTATTTATATTATAATAAATAATTAATTTTAAATAAGATTTGTATTCATAATGTAAAATTTTATATTTCATATATACTTTTAAGTTAGTAAAGACAATAGAAAAAAGTAATAAAAAAATTGGTTAAAAAACTAATTAAACAAAAGTAATTAATTTGAGATTTAAAAATTATTTTTTTTTTATTTTAATTTAAATTTAAGAAAAATTTTGCTTTTCTGTTTAAAAGTTTAAAAGAATCCTAATATTACATTTTATACCTTTGAACCTTACTGACAGTGAAAAATATTTCACTGCGCATTTCTTTTTAATCTTAATATAGCTGATGTTGCATCTAATTTACATCTAGAACGGTTTTTGACTTCAACACATCTCTAAACAAAATGTTGACGCAGCTCAATATTTCTCTAATCTGGGTTCCCGGTCATAGGGATATTTTCGGCAATTGCAGAGCAGACGAGCTGGCCAGAAAGATTGTTTTAGGACCTCACTCGCAACCCTTAAGTAATCTGTGCATATCATTAACATTTTAATAAAAGATGGAAAGACTCAACGATATGCAGGCATCTATTCACAATCTCTCCACTTTCCGCGAAAAGGAAATTTAAAATTTTCATTGAGATACCTCGTAGAGATATCAGTCTTTTGGAAGGCTTACTTACAGGTCACTGCAAACCATGCTAGAAGATTAAAGCTGTTTTAAAACAAACATGTCGCAGCTATAAAGAAGACGATGAGAGTACCTCTCATCTACTATGTCTTTGTTCAGCTCATGCAGGAGCACTTTTTCTTGAGGATCTTGATCAATTACACAACCTGACATTCAATAGAATTTTGAGCTTGGTTGGAGTTTCTAGGTAGTTTTAAACCCTGATTTATTCCAATATATACGGTAACAGAATTGGCCGAAGTGGATCCCCTAGGTATTGCCGGTATAACCTAACTATAACCTAATTATGTTTTAAACTTAAAATTCTTGGCAAAAAATGATTTCTTTTATTTTTTTTCAATTAAAAAATAAGTTCTTTTTATATATCGTACCTTTTCTTATCATTTATTTTTAAAGTGATGTAAATATTGTACAAAACCGTTTTTGACCTATCTGAATACTACGAGAATTCTTATGAAATCAGATGTACTTAAGATGAATTGTCTGTCACTTAACATTTAAACACATCGTGAAGTTAATGAAACATGACACTGCAATGTATTTTTTTGTACAAATTTAAGACAATAGAAAATAAAAATAATAAAAATGGAAATAATAAAAATAAAGAACGTGTTTTGCTGTCAAACAATTAAAAGAAATTTCTTCATTTTTATCATTTCCGATGTTGTGAAGTGGAAGCGCACATGGACTCAGTACATGACAAGAAAAACTCTAAGCGCTTGCAATCTAATTAAATTATGACAATTTATTATTTTGCAGATAAAAAAGCAAAGCAAATAAAAATTAGAAACAAAACTTGAGGACATATTTTAACACAAAGAATGTTAAAATAAAAAATATTATCAAATAAAATAAGTGTAAAATAAGAAATTCTGCTACTCTTTTTGCCCAACTTTTGAAAATTCTAAAGAAAGCAAAGCGAAATCAAACAAAATTAAGTATCCTGAAAATATTCCAGACCAAAACTAGTATAGAAACGTAGAAGTTCAAATGGAATAAGAAAGGAAAATACAAGATGACAAATAATTGAAACAGATGAAATAAAAGAAAAATTGAAAAATAAAATCTTAGGGTATGAAACATAAATTAATGCAAAAATAATTTGCGGATTATCCTTTTAGGAGCAAAGTCAAATAAAAATGAAATTAAAACGAAGTGCAAAGCAAAGAAAATTCGTTTAAATGAAAGCAACATGACAACTTTACATACAGTTTCAATATAAAAGGATGTAATAGCCTGTTTCTTTTCCTATTCTTTTTACGAGTTTATTTCCTTAAATGTTTGCAAGACAAATTATAAGGATTTTCCTCATTTCGTGCTAATTAAATTCAAAGTCAAAGCAAACAATTCAAAGTCTTTAATTAGTGCAAGCAGAATGCCAACACTGCGTATGAGTAATCTTTTTTATATCAATACACAAATATACATTTAGTATGGTTGGTTGTAGTGACAGATAACATCCATAGATAACGATTTTTCGACGTTTTGCTACGAAATTACTTGCAAGAACCCTAGTAGAGAAGAGTAGAGACCTAATCCATCCCGTTGAATTTAGATAATTTAATAAGTCTTACATCTTCATCGATGAACAGTTTGATAAACTATCAAAGAAATATCTTCCTCAGAACCTATATCTTCTATCCGCCAAAGCCGGGCATACACAGAAAAAATGTATTATGGTTTCTTTTTCCTGCGGGTTTCCACACCTACTGCAGCGAGGATTATGGGAAATGTGTAGTTTGCCTGTGTGGGTATCTATACACCAATGACCAGAAAGAACTCCAGTAAGCTTTGCAGTGTTCACGCGGTCACTTTTGATGAGTTCCGAGGATCTATTTTTATTATAGATGGGCCATGTTAATCTGGAAGTTGCACATTACTTAAGTGTTTTCTATCTGTCATTGGCAAGTTTCAAAAAGTAGAAGAAAGTGCTTCTCTTAATGGTCGCTAGGGTAATATAAACCGGTACCGACACATCCAGGGAGGCACCAGAGCAAGCTGAACTGTCAGCATTCTTGTTCCCTACGATGTTCCTATGGCCAGGAACCCAGATGAGAATCATATCAGCCAATCGATTTAGCTCGTCGATTCGTTCTCTATATTCCTTTACTATCTTTGATTTTGTTGTGAAAGATTTAAGGGCTTTGATTGCTGCCTGGCTGTCTATGAAAATGCCAACACTACATCTGTCCTCGATGTTACATGTAATGTGCCAACAGGTTTCTCTAATTGCTAGAATTTCAGCCTGAAAAACCATAGCCTCATTAGGTAGCCTAAGAGAATTATTTATATTTTCAGATGGCACGAAGATCCCTGCTCCTGCCATACAGTTCATTTTTGAACTATCTGTAAATATTGAGATATTCTTAGTTAGTTAGTTGAGGTGGAAGAAGGACGAGTCTTCTTCAATTAGCCAAAAAGCCGTTTTGAATCCACAAAAAACCTCGTAGTAATGGGTAGTAGGTAGTAGCTCAAACTAAAATCAGCCAGAGGCATTAACAAAGGCAAGAATCTGGCTAATGCTAATACTCGAGATATCGTTAAGTTAATTGAAAAAGGGGGCCCCTAGAAACTTATACCTAGTTCTGACCAAACCTGGACAAAGACACATCAAGTGTCATATCCTCACGAGCTGGTAGACCACAGGGTAGGTCGAGTCTAGCTCCATGCCGTCCTGTGGACCAGTGTTCTGTAAAGACAGATATTAACCTAGATACCGAAGATTTGTTTCAACAGATTAAGTTAGAAGTTCTATATTTGGAATATATTGGGCAAGTGGTCCTTAACCTGGCTACAGTATGGGTGGACAGTATGGGTCCACTCACAATTTGCCTGTTGTAAAAAATGAGATATTGTAGTTTGCTTCGAAATTTTTCCTTTTCTGTTCATTTCTTGAAGGAAATATTGTCTGAAAATTCCTTTCGAAGTCTACGCACGGATTCATATTATCTGATGTCGTCTTACAAAGACAGTATTGACTCAATAAACTATTTTTTTCATATTTTCATCAATATGAGTAAATATAATATTTTTTTAAATTTTTGTGTTTATTTTTAAACAGTATTTTTAAACTTTTAATTTAAAAAGAAAAAAATATTTCAATTATGTAGATTTTTTTATAATTATTTCTCGATTTCTCTTTTCTTTTTCTTTTCGTACAAAACGATTGCCAATTTTCACAGAACGAAAAAAATGAAAAATAAATTACAAATTTAAATTGAAAAATTAATACAAAGGATAATTAAAAAAAAAACATTAAAAAAATAAATCTTATAAAAATACATTTAATTACCTGAATGTAATCGCAGTCGTTCCAAGTTTTTAGTCTGGGTTCGAATTTCTTTTCTTTTTCACTTGCACTGGGTGTGAGTTTATTTGCAGTCGTCTCCTGTGTGGATATCCAAACCAAGTTACCTTTAGGCTGCCTCACAAGAATTAGCGCATGTTTGCCATGAGGGACATCATGCTGGTTTTCATAAAAGATAAAAGTACCGAAAAAAAAAATGTAAATATCTGTGTAATATTGACTTAGTTTAACTAAGAAATTTCTTGCAAAATAATGTGACTACATAAAACATTTAAAATAAACTGTAATTTTATATCTATCTGTAGGTATAAAAACATTTCACGAAAAATGTTTATATTTTCATCTGCATAAGCTTAAAAGTATCCATTGAATTGTTTAAATACTTTTCTTTAAATTCCCTTTATATAAAAAAGTATTTTTACTAAATTTAAACTGCAGCAGTTTAAAATCCACAAAACATGTTTTCCACAAAAAAATATCTATTCTTACGTTGAGTTTAACTTCATTGAATTTCTTATCTGTTCCAGAATTATATAGTGATTTACGAGGTTATTTCGTCTACGTTTGTGAAGAAAACAATTTCACTTCAAATCGCTTTGTCTTTAGTTCAATTGAAATTCGTTTTCGTTTTTTTTTTTGGTTTCTTATTTGAAGCTTGATGAGATAAAAATGATTCCCTTGCATTGGTATTTGCTGGAGTAAACAGGATAAACGTGAGATGATATTTCATCTCAACTTTTTTAACACTCACGAAAATTTATTTAAATACTTAAAATGTCAATTAGTTGGAAAAATTTTTATAAAAGAAAAAAAAGACCGTAATTTGATTTTCTTGAATAATATTAAAAAGGTAGTCGGTGTTGGGGTTTTGATGAGGGTTGTTTGTACGAAATAATTGAAAAAAAGAAAAAAAAAATTTTGTTTTAATTTCTTTTTTATTCTATCAAAAATTTTTGTAAAAAGAAATTGCCTAAAAAAGATTTACTTTATTTTCATTTTTTTGTCTAGTACTTTGACAAAGAAAATATGACTAAAAACAGATAAAAATATAGGTCTCAACAGCATCAAATAAAAATTGTTTTTACAGCTTCAAGTATTTTATTTTTCAAAAATACTTGAACTTAACTTTTCAAAAAAATTAAGAAAAATGAATTAAAAGCTTTAACTTAGTTTTAAATTTTATTTATTTTATTTTATTTTATTTAAAAATTCGCATTCATCACTTATAGTATCTTGAACTACAGAACAGCATGAACCAAGATTGCATATACTCATCTTTTATTTCATATTGTGGAGGAGACACTTGTTGTGTCTGCGCACCATTTATCTTGTGTCTTGGACTACAGAACGGCATGGACCAAGACTGTGTATACTCATGTCATGTATACTTCATGTCATGTTGTGGTGAAGATACTTGTTGTGTCTGCGCCAGGCTTAAGGTTTTGAGTGCCCCATTGTTTAATAACTGTTAGAGATTTGAGTGTCTATAAGAAACATTTTACATTTTAGCAAAGCTTCAAACACTACTATTCGTCAGCCAGAAATTGCACAAAGCCAGGGTCTGAGAAAACTTTTCAAAGTACCATGGTACATTAGGATGAATGACATCCTCAGGGACCTCAAGATTGATCCCATCACAAAATACATAAAGGATATAGATCTGAAATTATTTACCAAAACTAACAGACTTACCAACATCGCGTTATCAAATCTCAGAATGGTATGCAGATCTGAGGTCAATTATTGCTTAGTCTTATGAAGTGAGAAACAATAATCCAGTCAAGACTTTACGCCTTGGTTTTGAAAATACCTTGAGTTAAGAAAGCGTACTGGCTCAAATAGCTTCAACATAATTAATTATACTTACTAAGTAAGCAGTGGAAACATGATATTAGTAAGTCTTACTTTCCAATTTATAGTATATTAGAGGGAAATACAGTAGATTTATTATATAAAAATATTTCAATTAAAAAGATAAATCAGTCAATAGATTTTAATTTGTGTCATAATTAATTATACTTACTAAGTAAGCAGTGGAAACATGATATTTGTAAGTCTTACTTTCCAACTTATAGTATATTAGATGGAAGTTCAGTATTTATTATATAAAAATATTTCAATTAAAAAGATAAATCAGTCAATAAATTTTAATTTGTATCATAATCTAGATCTATAGACATGTTTAAAAAAGCTTCAGCATTTTTAACTTTACACAAGTATTGCCGAATGTTTGCAATTTACAATAACAAATGTAAAGACATATGAATTATACATTCAGCTTTCTTTAAATTGAATTGTTAGCACACATAATATTTAAAAATTTAAGTATTTTCGTATAAATTAAATTGCTTATTTGGGATAAGAGAAGAGAAAGACTCTTAAAAGATTTACAGTCAACAAGATAACAACTTTAAACTAAACAACTTGTAGATGCCAACAAAAGCAGAGTTGAACTAAGACAAGAACAAATAAAAAACAGTTAAACAGAAACTCTTTAGCTAACCTTCCCCAACCAAAGGCCATTAAAATGTCCATTACCAGCTCAAGGATTAAGGTAGCGGTAACATATATGCTATATAGCATAAGACCAAGGTAAATATACTTTGAAAGCATTTAAGAAAAAAAAGCTACTACAAGCAAAAATAAGGTCAAAGAACGTGTTTGCTAGATACGCCCACACAAAACCACGCATCTATTTACAATTGTTACTGAGGCAAGTGAAAAAAATACATCCTTAAAATATGGCAGAGATATTCTAAAAAGTTAAAGTTGCTACTCGTAGTACAGTAACTGGTCTTCTACATTTTATATATATATTGTTTTTGACTTATTTGTGCGCTTTTGCCTTGATCCTTTGCAAAAAGGTTGCACAAAGTGTACTCGTACAGCCATAATCGTACAAAATCGTACACAAAAAGGATTGTCCAAAGGCATTAAAATCGTATCAGTTTTTAGGTTTTGCGGTGACACTTCAAGGATTTTTCTACTTTTTTCCACATTTGATGTCACAAAAGGATAACGAAGGTTACATATGTTATATTTGCAAAAGAATTACAGAAGGGCAATTAAAGTTTGTTAGTTCGCTGTTGAAAAGTGTTCTGTTGTTTGTACAAGAAAAAATGTGTTTCTAGCACGAAAAACAAAAAACAAAATCGAGTTAAGAAAATTTCTACACTAAACGGATTACAAACCAGAAAAGTGCAACTAGAAAATTTGAAAAAAAAATTGTTCTTTTAGGTTCTGTTTTTTGTTTTTTTGTTCTTTTTTGTTCTTTTAGTTTGTTTTTACTGAATTTGCAAAGAACTTTTTTTGTTCTTTTAAGTATCAATTACATTGAGTGGTTTTTAAGGTTTCCCTTATTGCATTTAATTTAACATTTCAACACTTTCCACTGTTACCACTGTTGCCACACTCGTATCCTGCACTTTTTCGTATTTGTTCCTTTGCGCTCTGCAATCCATACTAGAAATTTAGCATGCAATGATTTGAATTCTGGATTTGTTGATTCAATTTGGCGTTCTATGATTGCAGAAGGATATGCATTGCATTGGAAAAAGCAAAAGAAATTCAAATGCAAACTGAATTTTTTGTATAAATTTGAATTAATGATTTTCGGATTTCAAAAATTTATGTTAGCTATTTTTGTTGTACATTTCGAGTTGGTACGTTGAGAAGGAGTAGATGTAGTAGCAAACCAGTGATATCCGGAACAAGCCGCTGTCAAGTCAATAATAATGTTTGATTATTTGAATTATTTATGGTGTGATTCTATAAAAGTTATTTTCTTTAAAAATCTACTTAGTAAACAATCAAATTGAATGAAATTTGTGGTATTAGGAAATTCAAATATTTATTATATATATAGTTTATAGTTTGATATAGTTTAAAATCTTGCACTTATGGTTTCAATCAAAAATAAGCATATAGACGTTGGAAAAATTCAAGGAGAAAAAATTCCTTAATGTGGTGCAGTTAGCAAGCATTATTGTATTTTATTGTGAGCTCTATATATATATGTTCAATTTCTAGAAATGTGAATGATGACTAATATTAATATAGAAATGTTTATTAAAGTAATTTAAACAACTAGAATAAAATGTTTAATATACAATATTAGCGAATTTAAGCATTTGATTATAAAATAGAGATGATTTTTAAGATCTGCAATAAATTAATAATTGTTACTAAATTTGAAACTCCTACAGAAAAATGTGTCTTAGAAAAGCCAAACTCAAAAAGCTATACACCGCTAGAAAAACATGTAACTGATGCTATTTTAAACTTTTTCGAGTGTCATGAACACAGTCAAATAATACCTGGGAAAAAATACTGCGTGTCCGTATAAATTGTTGGAAACAGGACACAAATAACAAACGGCTTATTTTAAGTAATCTGAAGGAGCTGTACACTTCTTTCAAACTCAACCATCTGGACCTCGAATGTAATCTATCTCAGTTGTGTTTGATTCACACACAAAAATGTAAAATTAATGACTGTGAAGTAAATATAAAAGCACCTAGTAGTGCATGCAAAGCACTACTAAGTCGATAAATGACTATAATGATTGCCTATACCGCATGATATGCAGTCTTTCAGGCATAGAATGTTTTTAGAAACGTGCGTCAAATATCCTGGTACTGTAAATCAACAATTTCTGGAGATCTTTGATAACAACATCATTGAAACTGGTACATATAAACAATGTGTTCGTCCAAACAGAACCACATTAAAAACTTTGACATCTGTAGTAGACGAATAGTTTAGATAGTGTAGAGATAGTGTAAAACTGATTAATTTTTAATTCATCAATATACATTAGTATAAAAAAAAATTACACTGTTTTATTATGGTAAAATTTTAAATGGTACTATGGTGCGTATGAGTGACGTGTTGGACACCTGATAAATAAATAGTTTGTAATTACTTTTAAACGTATTACCACACTGGAATTATTTATTTTTTAAGTAGAATTGATTGGTTAATCTGAATTAAAACTTAAAAACTAAAAATTTGCGTGACATATTCCTGATCCTTTTTTTTTTTAAAACAAAATTGTGTGCATATGTTTGGTGTGAGGTGAAGGATAAATTAATTTTTTAAACGTACTTCTAAGAACAATGCCGTACTGAAATGTTTATGTTTTATGTAGAATTTTATTACAAATCGAAATCAAAAATAATATATAAAACTTTATGTAGCAGATTCTTTGAAAATTCATTTATTGAAAATTTAGTACGCATGTGCTTTTGATGTGTTTTGCGGAGCCTGAGATATGGGCTTTTAAAAATATGTCTACAATACCAATTTTCAAAAGTCCATTGGTTCATATCTCCAAGGAAAAAAATTCGTAAATGTTTTTCTGAGATATGGTTCTTCTTATTTTATAAAGGGAGCCCGTACAAAAAACTTCAGTCAAATCAGAGGTGATGAGGTCGGAAAGGGTTTGATTTGTAAAAGAATGACCCATATATGGCAACAAAAAAAGGTGGTAGGAATAAGTACATAACTAAAGAGGAATTTTGTTGTTGGCAAGGAACGTCTAATTAACCTAATACGATAACACCAAGTAGAATTTTGATTTCGTAAAGTTTAATATTGATTATATTATTGTGTATGTTTTTCTTTTGTTATTGTCAAGAATTCTGTTAAATTAATTTAATATGATATTTCTAATATTTTTTATAGATTTCTATAAAGTGCTTTATGTGCTTAATTGAAAGTATATATGCAATAAATTTAATATAAATTATTTAATAACTTTAAATGAAGTTTAAATTGAAGTCCTCTTTCCTTTTTTGGATTTTAAAATAGTTTTAGAGTAATTTGACACTGCTTGTACCCATTTTTCTTTTGATAATAACGGATTAAATTTAAAAAATCGAACTTTTAAAGGATTAGTATTTAGTTCTTATTTTCAGCGATATGTATTTTGGTCTTTCAAAAAACTTTCTTCAAATAAATATATAAACATTTCAGTATTAGATCTCCTTTCCACGACTTCGCTATTTATTCTCAATTGGTGGATTTCTATGAGATCTCTTAAAATCATCCTGTAGAAAAAAAATAGTCGGGATAACCATGATTGCGCATACGAAGTAAATGTTTCTTAAAGAAAAGTGGGTTAATGGAACAAAAAAACTTCATTAGTGCTACCTATTTCTTAAACAAAATAAAAAATAAGAATTTTTGGTATTTTTTACTAATTGAAGGGGATGTATAGTTATGTATAAATTACATATTCTTGTCTAGTTTTTCTATTGCATGTTTTTATAAATGGAGCCTATTTTTATGACTGCTTCATATATTTTAACACTTCAATTAAATAAATACTTTTGCTTTTTTAAAAACTACAATACCTGTCTGACTGCAAAGTAACATGTTAGATTCCTTGGATAGATACCAGGATAATTGGGAGACTGCAAACGGCAAGATTTTTTGTCACAGTCACTAAAAATTCGTGAACAATACGTGCCTGGTATCAAGTCACCTAAAAAGAAATATAATTATTTGTGTTAGTTAATTCAAGATATAAATCTTATACATAAAATCACTTTAATTTACGAAGTACATAAATAAAATGAATTCATTTATAACATAATTATATTAGTTTTAAATGTGCTCAAATATAATTACGAAAAGATGAGATAATTAAATGACTTACCCAAATAATAACGTGGTTCTGTGTAATTATTTTCATCCTTTGCCACAAGTTTTTGTAAGGAATTTACAAAAGTTTTATTATTGGCATATTGACTAAACAAACTGAAGTCCTGCCCGTAACGATCGGAATGTGCACCACTTGAATTCGTAAAATCCTCAATTGCATTTTGATTAAGGTAATTGCTGCGGTTGTACCATTGATTCAATTCTAAAATGAAGAAATAAAAAATTCTATAAAAATAATTTCAATCCTTCAACAAATGCAAATGGAAGCATCACAAAATTTCTTCATCCCCACAAAATGAAGCAATAAAATTTAATCATCATTGCATTTTAATCGTCCTTTCAGACGGTTTATTGGGTTGGATTTTAAGTTTTAAAGGGTTGAGTTTTCAGTTTTGTTTTATCTTGACTTTATCTTTTTGTTTATATATTTTGATTTATTATATTTTTTGTGGCTATTCAAGAGTAAAAAATGTTTTCCATGTTTCTAATTTTTTTTTATATATTTATTTAATTAAACACTACAAAGTGAATGGAAACATAGCAAAATTTAGTTGTAAATAACTTTCGAGTATTTTCTTAATGATTTGTCATAGACGCGGGTCAATCAGTTACTTGCAAATAGTTTATATAGTACTATGAAAGAGTACTTTTTCTTATTATATATATTATATATTTTACGTGTCATCTAATGTGGTAATTATTTAGCATTAAAATGTGGCAACACCACGAAACTGTTATGAAAGTAGCTGAAAATAGTAGGAATAGTAAGTGTTCCGAATTCTGTTAATTCGCAAGTTCTGTTAATTACTATATTAACATAACAATAAATACAGTCAATCATCAATTAGTCGTTATTTATAATATAGAACTGTATTATATTTAAACAAATAATTTTAATATTATTTTCAAAATTATTTCTTTATAATAAATTTGAAGAGCCGATATCTACTGCTCATCTAGTATTCAGTTCTACACTAGACCAAAGTAATTTTTAATAGATGCAAACATAATTTAATATATAAATATAGTATATATATTAAATAATAAATTAAATTATTAGTTTTAAATCTTATTTGTTATTAATACAAATTTGTACTTTCACAAATTAAATTTTGCCTTGGATTATTTTAACAACTTATTAGCAAATTTACATCTATAAAGATTATTATATATAATTTTTATTAATTTCGATATATTTTAATATCAGGTATAACTCAGATATCAGGTATTAAGTTTTATTAGAAATATTATATAGTTTTTTTAAGTGTATTTTCTTTTTTTAAGTGTATATCTAAAGAATATCAGTTACCAAAATAATTATATAATTTTATGATCTAAACGATGCTTATTGATACCAATATGTATACTTCTTTAGAATTAGACAGAGGATTGCTTTAGGATTGCAGTCTTTTATGATTGCTAATAGGATATAACATAGCATTCAGGTTGTGTTTGTTGTTTGGTATTTTATAAAATTGTTGAGATCTGTCTTGGGTATGCTACAAAAACTTTAGTTGATATTTTTACTTACTATGATTAAAAGTAACTTCAGCTTTAAATTCAAAGCTCTTGTCTTGAATATAATTATACATGATTATACAATCGAATATACTAAATCGAATATAGTATATATACGACTCGATTATGGTAACCGAATCGAACTTCTCTTCGACATAATATCATGTATTTATATTATACCCCGCTATATATATTGGTATGTATATCGTGTATTGGTTACACTTATCTGCCTTTCGAAATGGTTTCCCTAGCTTGTAACTATACTGTGAAGCATTTATATTTGCCATTGATTACAGGTTAATACTGATTTCTACTGCTAGAGGATACCACTGTGCAAAAAACTACTACTTGATTTTTAAAATCTGTTAGTTTTAAGTCTGGTACTATAGTTACTTCATTTAATAATTAAAAATATGTTTATACAAAACTAATTACCACAATTGGTGCATAACCAATGTCTATAATTGGTTAAGCATCAATTGAATGAAATGTTTTATTTTAGATGAATCTTATATGAACTTATCGTCTTCCGAAACACGTTATCAATCCAAAAAGGGTTAAGTTTTTGATTATTTTCAATTTCTCATTAAAAATCTATCTTTTAAAAAAAATACTCTATTACACATTAATAGATTTTAAAGTTTATTTCTTATTAATGATGATTTTCTGATTTTGATTATTTCGAAAAAACGTATTTTTTATTTTATTATTATAACAGTACCTTAATTTTTTCAAAGATTAAATTATTACTATTTAAATAATTTAATAATTAATTAAATTATAACTTTTTGATTTTAATTATTTTGAAAATAGTTATTTACTTTTACTTTATTATCATTATAACAAAATCTTAAATATGTTTTTTATTTTTTTTTTAATACTTTTTTCTTCTTCTTTAATATTGTTCAACAGAAAAGGAAAACTTTCTTAAATGTTAAATGAGTAATAAAATTATGTAAGAATGAAGTAAAAATAAGTTTTTTATTTTCTCTTAATGTCTATTTTATTTTTTCATTTTAATTTTAGATAGCACTTACCTTCGAGTTTGATGCCACCGTAACGAGTAACCGAACTGTCACGAGATAAAACCTTATATCTGATGCGAAAATCAAAATTGTAACCGCTTTGATCCCTTGCTAACCTGTTGCAATGAGAGAGTAAAATATTAAATTTTCTTAGCAAAAAAAGGACGTCAGGAAAATATGATATAAATATAATTATTTAGAAGTATTTCAGTTGGCTTCAACTACTTAATATGGGTCAAACTCGTATAAACTTTGAAAATACTATATTTCTCGTGGTCCATAGCCACGTTGAAGTTGTTTTAACAAAACTGTATAAACCTTTTTTTCATTCGTATCTTATACTTAAACCCACAATAAAGTTAAAAACAACTGTTCTTGCTTTTACATGATTGCCATGAATGTAGTGTAGCATTCAGGTGGACTGAAAAACAACTTACTTGTTTAATTTAATTGTGAAAATCAGTGATCGCGTTTCACTGTAAAATAAAACTGGTCCCCATGAGGTGCCACACCACATACCGCCAATGGGCGTACGAGCCGACTCAGCAATTTGCATGTATCCATCCGGACAGCCATCGTGCAGATATGATGTAAAACGTCCAATGGTGAAACTGTCCAAAGTTACCTACAATACACGTAAGAGCATATATCACAAAACTTTATTTTATATTTACGGGTATTATTGTTGGAAACTAAAAGAAAAAAATTATCTGCACACAAAGTAATTGGGAAGTATCTGCTGTCAGCAGTATTTTTCAGTATTGGCTCAGTTTGGTCCACAGAAATATAGTATTGTATATGAAAATAAAATTGAATGTAAATGCAGATAACAAAAAGTAATTGCCAAGTGTTGTTGGTGGAAAGTTTGAGAAGTTATTTTTTTTTTACTTTCCACAGTAGGTATACATGGAACATTGTACAACGATAAGTTTAGTAGTTAAAGTTGCATTTCATTTCGCTCGCCTATCAAACCAACTGCGATATCTGACAGTCTGTAACACTAGTCCATAACATTTACGTTGAAGTTGACAGATACACTGACATATATTCGTATACTCGCAAATATAGTCAGGTAGATAAGTGTGCGCAAAACTAGCAGTAAGGAAATTACTTTGCATATATTGATTACTTCTATCGAAGCTATTTTCAATGGAATAACTTTTACATTGTAAAAAGCTAACTTAAATGAAAAAAAAACGAACTTTTTCAAACAAAAAATCTATTATAAATAATCCATTATCCTGCCAGCATTCAGTAAAGAGCGTTGTTAGCCGACCCAGGGAAACTTGGCTTATCAAACTTGTAGACACATTTTCAATCAGTGCACTCGATATTTCTCATAAAATTGTAGGAAAAATTAATGAAACAAAATAAACTAAACATTTTTTAATTACTTTTTAAGATATTAGTTTGTAGATTAACTCGCTTCTTAATAAAAACATAAAAAGGTTTTTAAAAAAACTTTGCAAGTGAACTTTAATTGAAAATATTTAAGTGAAATTTACCATTAAATTTATAGCAATGATTTTTTTTAATTATGAAAATTTATAACGGAGGTGCTAGACCATATAGTTTTACTTTTAGAGTTTAGTTTTTTCAATATTAGATTATATCGGTAAGTTTAAACAGAGCAATGTTTAAAAATAAATTGTTTACATTCCAGTAAACAAATTTATTAACTCCTATAGGTACTTGCAGCTCTGAATAAGGTAAGTCCTTATTGGGTTCCGGTTCACAGGGGGCTTTTGCGTAATGAGCAAGCCAAAACTACATCAAAAACTGCTTTTACAGGCCCTCAATTCTTTTGTGGGATGAATTGGGTCAGTATAAAACAAATAATGAAGGAGAGGGAGAATTGTTTGTGATTGATGTGCTAGAAAGATTACTTCGTACTCAAACCATACTCTTACAAAAACATTTTTAAATTCTCAAAAGGTAATTTAAGGCTGCCAACGGGTTTCATTACGGCTCATTATGGTCTGAAATATCACCTATATAAACTTTAATTATCTGCTAATTTGGAATGCAGATTATGCCTCGAAGATGAGGAAACAGTTACGTATATTCTTTGTGATTGTCCAGATTAAGAGTACTAATACTGTTCTCATATTGTTTTTTTACATATAATAGTCATCATCGCTATTATCGGAACTACGACCGAAGTCGGATCTTGTAAATTAATGTCATTCGGTTAGGCACCCCTATGCTCGAACTGCCTACTTTGTTGGTGACATATAGTAGGCAGGTAGATCAGTATTTACCAAAGTCTATCGAAGTAGTAGAAAAAATATGTAAATATACTTTTTGATATTCTTGATAAGGTAATATCTACATTTATGAGACCTGGTACGTTATTTTTAGTAATCTTATCTATAAAATGGGTTAATTCGATCATGTTGAAAAGCAACTATATGTAAAACTGTAGCATTTTTGGACACACTTTCTGAGTATAAAAAACTGAACGTGATAAAAGAAAATTGAAATCCGCTTCGTGATTGTTGTTATAAAATAATTAACATTCTAGTTTATATTTGATCTTGTAGGTGATATTTGTTTTAATAAGAATGAGGAAAAGAAAATTCGATAAATGGAAGGTGAAGTTAACCTAAAATAGAATCGAGAAGTTAAATCAATGTAGAATAATAATGGTACGTTATTGTTTCTTTATGTGAGGCAAGCAATTTCAGAGCCTTTTCAGACTGGATTATAAGACTGAGCTTATATTCACTTATAATACAATTTTGTAAATCAATTCTATGGTTGGAGAATAGTTCACCATAGCTTGAAATATGCTTGCTATATTCTAGTTATAGATTCAAGTTATCGTAGTATGTCATACTTATTTTTATAATCGAACTATAATCTGTATGACAGATTGAATAATATTCAATATGTATATTTCGGGTTGTGTTTCGGTTTTTATTGGGTAAACAAATATTTGTAACTTATTGCTTTAAATATGTAATTTGATATTATTTGAATGTAACATATGTGTTATTAATCATGTTTTCTATTGTAGTCAAAATGTTGTTTAAAGATTTTTTCCAAGTAAAAGAAATTGAAGAAATAACACCAGATACCTTTTGTGTTACATGTGAATCAAATCGATTAGGAATATCCATGACTTTTAATGTCGCCTCTTGCATGAAGCATTATGTGCACTTAGGAGAGACGTTTTGGTTTACATTAGCCAAAACTATAAATGTATGCGGTTCATATGAATGTGATTATGATTCTGTTAAATGTGGTACCATTCATGTTGTTCACACACCTGAGAATTCTACAACAATTTTAAGTGCTGAATTTGGAAGACTTTTTCTTAGCTTAAAAGGAGATTCGAATATATTCAGTGGCGTGACTGCTGGTGAAGACCTATATATGTTGCTTAAGGAACGGGAATAGTTTTTTGGTAAATATTTTGCCTTAACTGATATTATTTTACATATTAAATATTATGCTTTTATTAAATAAATATTTTTGGATTGTTATAGTAGAGGCAAATGTTCTATTTAAGTAATGAATTAAGGAAAAAGTAAGGACCCACGATCAACGTATTTGTTGAAAGGA